GGGCGGGCAGGGCTGCAGCCCAGAGTCTGGCACAGCAGGAGGCCCCCAGCCCCACTGCGGCCCATCTCCCACCCAGCTCCAGTGGCGCGGGTGCTCAGCCACAGCAGCTGTGCTGGCCGGGGAGCCGCATCTTTCAGCCCTCGTGGTGGGCATCTTCAGCAAGGCGACAGAAGCCACAGCTCAGGTGTGTGGGGCAATGCTCTTCCCAGGGGCTCTTGCAGAGCAGGCCCTCTCAGTGGCATGCACAGCATGGCTGCAACCAACACTGTCACCAGGCAATGAAACCCCTCCATTGGTGGGGACAACCCCCTGGTGGGGACCTGACTGCATGGCCAGGTCCTCCCTGTGTCTTTGTGCTTGTCCCAGGTTCCATGCACACATGGGAGCTCTTTTGGCCAGTGAAAGACACTGAACCGAGGCCTTCCTGAGCCAGACGCCCCAACTGGGCCAGCACCAGTCACGTCCTACGGGAGCGGAGGGGAATACACACCATTCAGCTGGCTGTATGTGCCATGTGTGAGGGTGCAGCCCATGCTGTGGTGAGGTGCAGCAGCCTCCACGGGATGTGCCAGCAGTGTGGATGGACAAGTCCTGAGTGGATTCTTGTTCTAGAGGTGTGCGAGCCCTTGATACAGTGGGACATGTGCTTGCCTCTGACAGCATTGGGGCTGCAAGGAGGGTCAGGGGGTATGAGGACTTTGTGGAAGCCCAGGAGGCAGGGACAGAGGAAACTGAGTGATCAGTGAAAGACTGGGTGGGAAGCCTATCTGAGCACGGCAGTCTGAGGCTCAGAGCCCAGCCGAGCCCTAAGGGTAGTCTTAGGGACCAGGGGTGTTGGCTATGGTTTAGGGACCTGCAGCTCAGTCCAGTCTGGCACTTTGCAGCTCTCACTTCTTCCTGTTCATGATCTGGCTGGAAATCCAGTTCATCCCATCCTGGAGCGAAGAGAGAGACATGAGCACAGCCCCAAGAGCATGGCAGGTCCTTGGGTCCTCTCCCGCCTCTGCAGAGCCCACAGGCCCCCATGCCTACCTGCACTCCTTCCCCAGACAAGGCTGAGCAGGCCTGGATCTGCCATTCCCTGTCCCGGTAGGTGTGGAGGCTCAGCCCTTCTGCAATTTCGGCTGCAGGCGCTGCAGTCACTAGGTCCTGCTTGTTG